TCTCTGTCTCTGTCTCTGTCTCTGTCTCTGTCTCTGTCTCTGTCTCTGTCTCTGTCTCTGTCTCTGTCTCTGTCTCTGTCTCTGTCTCTGTCTCTAGCTGTTGTACACTGTGTGAGCTTTGGGCTGCGGTGTGCAGTAGTGGTTGGGATTGCGGTTGAAGTCCCAGGGGGTAGTTTGGCTGTTTTACTCCTGAGCAAGGTCCTTCATTTGAGCCCACCGCAGTGCATGGTGGGTAAAGGAGTTTGTCTCAGGGTGGATGGGAAATTGTTTTCACCCGACTTGCCTAGGTAGACAAAAGCTTTTTAGACGAGCTAGCTTGCTTATTTTGGTGTTTTATGTGGACAGGTGGCAAGACCTTACCGGCTGTACATAAAACAGCCTGATTTATTAGCTGGTTAAAGTCTTGCTTCCGATGCAGTAAGTAAATGGAGTGAAACGTGTCGCAGCTGGAAATAAGACTCTGTTGTGTTTTACACTGAGCTCTGTGTGACGTGCAAGATTGGGAGGGTGATGGGATGGGGGGATGGGGGGGCTCCTCAGGGCGCGTTCAGCCCAGGGTAACCCCTCGTGTTTTTTGTGATCCAGCACAACCCTTGGTCTGGTGAAGACTGAGGTGGAAACGTTTCTGAGATCTCGGTTGGTGCTTGAGGTGTGTCTTAGAGGTCAGTCAGACTGACTGCCAGAGGGGGAGTGATCAGGACCAGTGGGGTGGGGTTGGAGCTGTTGGGTGCATGCCCTCAGCTCCCCAAGCTGCTGACAAAAGGGGGGTGCACGCAGGTGTGATCTTCAAGGGAAGGGGAAGGTGGTGGTCAGGACTGGGCTGGTGTTGGATTGCTCTTGATGTGCGATTCTCCGGCTCCCCACAAGAGGGCGCTGTTCCCCCTGCGGATGCACCCCCCCCCCCCCCCCCCCCTCCTCTGCAGAGCCAGGTGCGACCGGATTTAACAACCGACCAATTAACAGCTGTTGACGAATCAAGCACCCAGCTTCCAATGGCTCGTCTGGCACCCTGAAGAAGACCGCGCACCAGTTAACGACCTTAACGAGCAGGGCAGCGACGAGGTCCTTGAGTGGAATTTTAGGCCGGCGTTGCAGGAGTCGGGCTTGACCTGGAAGAGACTTTATGTAACACAAGCTTTGACAAAAAAAAAAAACTCTGCAGCAACCGGTAACCTAGCAACTCGAAAAAAAAGTCAGGAGGAAGAAAGAAAAGCTCTGAATAAATAATCTGATTTCTCTCGATCCATCTCTCTGTGGATTGAAAGCATGATCACTTCCCGTCTTCTCCTCTAACAGCCATATCCCCTTTCCTTCTGGAGCTGAGGAGCCGTGTGCTGGGGAACTCCGGGGATCTGGCTCTGGAGGAAGGGGGGTCGTCTGTGGCTGAGGGGTTACAGTCTCCCCGAAGGCAGCTGAGGACAGTAAATCTGTACGGAGTCTCTGATTGAGAGGAGAGGGACAGCAGTGTCTCCAGTCCAGGCAGGAGTGTGTCAGTG